GCAAACAATCTTGTAAAATCTGTATTGATCTTCTTTATCAATATATATTTTAAATTTGAAAATTGTGTTTGTATTCATCCCCCCCTTCTACAAACTGTTTAGTATTCTTGTAGACCCTTTTGGGACCAACACCTTGTACTAGATCTTGCTGCTGCAATGTTTGTAAACCCGACTTGCTGACATGTGCCAGCCTTTGATGCCATAGTCGAGATAAGTCTTGCGTGACGGTATGAAAACAGACCCCCTGGTTCTTGTTTGCAGCTTTGGTTAAAGTTTTTGCTACCAAGGTGAACATACTATCAGGAGCCATACCTGTTTGAATGATGAGACCTTTCTCTGGATGATATATCTTGCATCTATTATCTTCAATCAAAATGGATAAACCTTTTTCCTGTAGTTGTCCAATGCGCTCAAGAGATTGTTCTTGAGCTCAAGTACGTAAAAAACGTCAGCAACTATGTAAATCATCCCATTTATCTCCATTTTGAAACTCCCAATTCCGGACACCAACATCTTTAAATCATTTCCAAGCTTTACAAATTGTGTAAAACTTTCATCCAACTCAGAGAACATGTTCTTATCACTGCACATGTGGATGTTGTATCCTGAATCCAAGAACCATAAATCTTCTCATTTCTTAGATGTATCCTCAATATGCGCCATCAACACCATTTCTTCCTTTTCATCAAGCTCTACATAATTTGTTTGCCGTCCCCATGAAGGGAATTCGTACTGGAAGTGGTCGAGCTTGTGACATCGAAAACATTCGATGATAGATTTGTCGAATGTTGCTCTTCCTCTCCCACCAATGCCGCGACCCCTTCCTTGGTAGTATCCTCTTCCGCTTCTTCCTCGATTTGAAACCGTTGTTACCTTAAAAACTTGCTCTTCCCCAATCTCTCATTTCCTTAGCTTTTGGCTCATGCATCAGTAACGAACTTTGCAGCTCATCAACTGTAAGTTGGTCGATGTCCTTGGATTCTTCAATCGAGCACACAATGAAATTGAAATTTTCTGTTAGTGTTCGTAGAATCTTTTCCATGACCTTGACGTCATCCATATCTTCTCCACAATTCTGCATGTCGTTGGCTATAACTAACACCCTTCCAAAATAATTTATCACCGATTCTCCCCCTTTCATCTCTAAGGCTTCGAACGAACTGCGAAGTCTTTGTAGTTGAGCTCGCTTCACTCTTGCATTTCCCTTGTATTTCACTTTCATTGACTCCCATATTTGCTTTGCCATCTCCTTTTGAGTGATAGTCTTTAGGATTGACTTATCAATGGCTTGAAATAGGTAGTTCTTTGCTTTTAAGTCTTTGAGCTTTGCTTCATTTAGGACTTTCTGCTGATCTGTGGATGATGCTTCAAGGGCTGCTGGTTCATGGTAACCATCTTGGACTATACTCCAATACTCCTTTGAACACAGTAAGTTTTCCATGAGCAAGCTCCAATGATCATAATCTCCATCGAACATTGGCACACATGGGGCTATGAAATTACTTGATTCAGCAGCCATCTCTCAATCGATTTCTTTTCTCACACACTCGTGTTTATCTCTCACACTAATTCTTCTTCACTCGCTCATGTTTACACTCGATTTTACTCTGATACCAAATGTAAATAGAAGCTTAAAAAACACATAGAAGAAATTGTTGGCTTCAAAAGCTTGCCTTTATTCAACAAAGTACTGAGCAATTTATAGCCTTTTACAAAACAAAAAAAGAGAAAAATAAGCTAACTTAATCTATTGGATTATTGAAAAAGCCTTAGGAATAAGCCCCCTAAATACTTGGTAAAACTAACAGCAAAGACTTAGTAAAACTACCAGTAAACAACTAGAGGCAACATGGTTGTCGTTGGACTTTATCAAATCAAACCAACAAACCCCATAGCAAAGGTGGTTTTAGAGTAGATGGAAGATCGGGGAAGGGGGTCTTCAAGAAAATGAGCGAATGAGGAAGGAGTTCCATCGAAGCAGAGAGGGAAGGGGAGAAGAACCACCACTGTCATCGCGCATCTGTAACCACAATGCTTGACGAAGGGGAATCTGAAAAGGGGAAGGTCTAGATGACAAGAGATGGGGGTTTCAAGGAGATGAGGCTTCATATATGGCCAGATAGGACATCATCGACCAGAGATGTTGGTGGTCAGTGACGTGGGAAGAGGCCCAAGTGGTGGTGGCCAGTTACATGGAAAGACCGAATATGGCCTATTTTTGTCCCAGACCTCCTTTGCCAAGGCGATTCTTGCTCGTGCTAGCATGGAAACGTGCAATCCTTACAGCACTCCGATAGACATTAAGCCAAATCTTTCATCATTAGGAAAGCCTGTTCGTTGATCCTTCCTTATATCGAAGCCTTGCAGGGGCACTGCAATATCTAATCTTCACTCGTCCTGATATTGCATATGCGGTCCAACAAATTTGCCTTTATGTGCATATGATCCTCGTGAACCACACCTTCTAGCCGTAAAGGGTATTCTTCGTTACCTGCAGGGTACACTCTCACATGGTCTTCATATTCGTCTGTCATCCGTTGACAAGTTGGTTTCTTATTCTGATGCTAACTGGGTTGGCTCTCCTAAAACACGTAGGTCGACCTCTGGGTTTTGTGTCTTCCTTCATGACAATCTTGTGTTGTGGTCTTCCAAACGTCAACATGTTGTCTCCCGTTCTAGCACTGAAGCTGAGTACAAGGGGTAGCCAATGTCTTTGCTGAAGCTGCTTGGCTTTGCAACCTTCTTCTTGAGCTATCTTGTCCTCTTTCACGTACGACAGTTGTTTTTTGTGACAATGTCAGTGTCATGTACTTAGCTTCTAACCCAGTTCATCACCAAAGAACAAAACATGTTGAAATAGATTTACATTTTGTTACGGAACGAGTTGCGATTGAACATGTGCATGTGTTGCACGTTCCTCTGCTCATCAATTTGCAGATATTTTTACAAAGGGGTTACCAAGAGAATTATTTATATTTTACTTTAGAAACAGTTTAAGCATTCGTCAACCTCCCGCTCAAACTGAGGGGGTGTGTTAAAGCATGTATTTTTATATCTCTTTTTTGTTAATTCTGTATAGTATAAGGACCCTTTTGTAACGTTGTATTCCATATATACTAAGCAATAATATGCAAACCCTAACAGGATTTCCACATATTCCAACACTTCTATTACTATTTACTAAGGGTTATCAGAAATTCGTCAATGAGTTTTGGAGTCACTATGGATTACTTGATAGCCATATTGTCGGCAAATTTAATCTATTATTCCACGGCAATCTGCCGACTATTATTGACGGATTTTTATCGTCGATGCTTTTCGTTGATATATGCTGTCTAGTAGTGTTTTGCATCTTTAATATGCAACAAATATCAAACCAAGCATCGACGATACAAATCCGTCAATAATAGTCGACGGATTACCAGCGGATTAAAGTTGGCCTAGAGCCACAAATGTCGACTAAACTAGCAAGCTTGATTTGTGAATTTCCAAACCGAACCTGCTAATTTTGTGTTCCATTGGTTTTTGATATATATGGGATGTTCAAGTACCTGGCGAAATCATTGAATATTTGGTTTCTGCCAAACCATGGACAACCCTACCTCAAAAACATCTATTCTGATCCACTATTGCTAAAAGAAATTTGCAAATTAACTTG